TCTACTCTTAAGTTGCCCGCATACCTTGGACATATGGAAAATGGCCCCTATACAATGGGATGGAGCTAGACTTCAAATGATGGCAGAGCAAAATATTAGAGGCAAAGACTAGACCAGAAGGGGCACAGCCCATTGGTTTTACTGCAAACATTCTGTGGCATATGTGGAAAGAAAGAAATAAGAAGGAATTTGAAAACCAAAGCAGATGTTCACCAGTGAAGATTTTGAACAAGGCTCAGAAGGAGTGGCTGGAACAAGAGGAGCTAGGAAAACTAAAGACAGAATGAACACAGGAGAAACAACTACCAACCAATCAATACATCAGCAGGAGCATGAAAATGAGGGGATCATAATACTGGAAGTGAATACAACAAGCTAGCAAAGGCAGTGTTCACTTGGAGTTGGAGCTATAGCTAGGACATACCAGCACACAAGGGTTGTCGAATGGGCACTAAAGGAGAGAACACTTGGAAATAAGATCCTTGATGATGCGGCAGTAGTCAAACTGGTCTTAAGTAAAGCTATGGAACAACATTGGGACAGAATTAAAACCCTTTCCCACAACAAGGAATTACTGAGACAGTTAAGGCATCAGAGCTCCTCAGAAAGCCATTTAGCTACACTGATTGATGATATTACTGAATTGCAGAAGATGTTTCGCATGTGCTCTTTTGAGCTGGTCAGTGAAGAAAATATGACAAATAGTAAAAGATTAAGTTCTTATGCCTCAAGCATTCTTATGGATGAGGAATGGTATTTTCCTCAGTGCAATTGAGCACTAGTTGTAAAGCTTTTCGAGCCTTTGCTCGCACATGTAAATTCTTTTTATTGAATGGAAAAATCTTATCGTTTCGTTAAAAAAAAAGAGTATTGTCTCATCGCCCACTTATACTTGTAGGGACACCCAAAACCCAATGGCTAGCCATTCAAATCAAGCTAGCAAGGGCTTGGTTGAGGAGCTTGGTGAACCTTGGGTTCATATACTTGACTTGCTTGGATATACTCAAATAATATCAAAAACTTGTTTGACGTTTGGGTCCGGTAGGGGGTATAACGGTGGACGGAAATTGGTAAAAAGTTTCTACGGACTTGTTACTTGCTTGGTTGACGAAGCGTCAACACTTGGAAATTGTGGATCAAGATTATCTATGAAGCAATATGGATTTAGTTCCTGAGAGCTCCTGTATCCTTTACGTGTGTTTTACTTCCTATTTGTGCATTTAAATGAAATTTCATGTTAAGTCGTTTTTAAGTGTGTTATTCAATTTAATTTGTACTACTTGCTTGCTTGCTTGATTTTTCTTGGTCTCACTGAGCGTTAGCTCATACCTTTAAATTTGTTTTCCTTAACAGGACTTGGAGGTGGAAGTTGGTGATTCTAGACTAACGGCTTTTGATGGAAGCTAGTATACCTTTTGTATGAAATTGGAGACTTTTAAAGTGTAAATTTTGTTATACTTGGGTATTTTGATTTGTAATTGTAAATGGTAGCCTTAAGAGTTGTAACTTGTATATTCGAAGTATTTCTAAATCCTAAGTCAATGGTTGACTTGTAGTTCTTTATTAAGTTAGAATGACTGCGTGAGTCCTGACGAGAGTTAAGCAAGCACCTCGCGATACCCTAGGGTTTGCCCTAGGAAGAGGTTGGGGCGTCACATATTCGAGATAAACAAATATGTATATATATTTCTGGTTGGAAACTACTGCTCCTCTTGTTCTTGAAGTTATAATTTTTGTTTTTAAATTGAGAGAGTAAGTCCTGGCGAGAGTTAGACAAACGATTAGCTAAACCTGGGGTACGCACTAGGGAATGGCGGGATCGTCACAACTAGCATAGTGTACTTCATGAAATTTCAGTCTTTTCTTTGGCCTGAAACAATTCCTACTGCATAATCATGCACATCACACTTTAAGCCAAAAGGAAAATTCCAATCAGATGCAATGATTATAGGTGCAGATGTAAACTCTTTTTTTGGTTTATTAAAAGCATCTAATTAAGCATCATCAAAGACAAAAGCTACATATTTAGATAGTAAATCATATAGAGGTTTAGTTATCTTAGAAAAATCTTTAATAAACGTCCTAATGGAAGTTAAGTTCTTAAAGGACCCCAAATAGTAAAACAGTTTTTCCAAAGAAACCTCCATTATAACTAATGGAAGTTAAGTTTTGAAAGGACTCCAAATAGTAAAACATTTTTTCCACTTTTACCCTTACCATTCATCACACTTCACCCCTTCGAACTAAGTAAATATCCTACTTTGCCCTCCTTAATAGAAAACTACACATTTTATTTTAGTAATATATGATTATATATAAGTTATAATACAATTTATGATACCTAAAACTAACATTCTTTATTCCAAACATTTATTAAGAAAAAGAAATTTCATATAAAATCACGTTAATTTCAACATTGCTTTAAAGCTTACTTTCATAATTTTCTTTCCATTTTGAATTAGTGGCGTTTTCTTTTTCACATTAATTATGGATTATTGCATCTATTATAAAAGGAATTTTTGATATCGACCTTAAATCTTTGACCTCAAAGAAAAAATGGAAATTGGTCATCAAGAAATCAATAAAACTGACATTAATAAAAAATTTTCGGAAACTTCATTGACAAAATCTATACACATTTTGTCAAAATTTATGCATAAGATAATGATCAATGATGATTAAACAAAAATTTTAATATATTATGATATAAAATAATTCAATTTATAGTTTATACATATGTTTTGGAGCTTTATCATTAACTCCAAAACTTGAGAAGATATTAGGTAAACAATAGAAAAGGTATTTTTGCCCATTTAACACTGTAACATGGGCAATTTAGTCACTACATTACATTTTTACTTATTTTAACACTACAATACAAGCAATTTACTCACTGCGTCAATACTTTGCAGTGTTACTAAAACTAAGCGTCAATTTTTCTTTTTATTTTTGTTTTGGATTAATAACACTTTTTCCCCCTCACTAGGGGACATTTTGCCCCCTCAACCAAAGTAATATACACTTCCACCGAAAAAAAGTCAACGATTAGTTTTGCTAACACTATCATAAATATCAACGTGATGACAAAATTGGCCATGTTGTAGTGATAAATGGGTTAAAGTATCCTTCTATGTTTTAATTAAGGGATAATTTTAGAAACCTCACTTGAGGTTTCTGATAGATGCACGAACCTCTCTTGAGGCTTTAAAAATTTTTCTAACCTCCTCTAACAAATTTCACTGTTGTTTGATGTCTAATTAAAAAGCATGGCTGCAAGTTTTGAAAAGGCACCAAATCAGACACCAAGATAGCGCCATTAGGAAGTACTAGTGTTAAAGGCACATGCAATGTCAGTTTCAGAAATGGTTTTTTTTTTTGCAAATTAATTTTGCATAAAATTTTGTCATCACTAAAACAAATTGTGGTATTTTAACCTTTTTCCTCATCAAATGATAGTTATTTTGGTAGTTACAATATTTGAAACAATTATTTTTTCGGGTCTGTTTAGATACTTAAAAATTAGTTATAGGTAGTTATCTTAACAATTCATAATTAAGTAATAAAAGATTTAAGTAATTTTCATAAGTTTAAGGTTAGAAGTATATAAAATAAAAAAAAAGTGTACATAACTACAATTAAAAAGTTTGTGAGTTGTACTAATACCCCCTGAACTTTAGTACTTGTTTTTCTTTTTTTAATGATTTTCAATCTTTTACTAATACAACGACCAAAAGAGCATTTGTTGAATAAAATATCATCTCACCCATGAAAATATTATTTTAATGCTCGAGGTCAATGAAATTTGTAAAACCTTAGGGAGATCAGTACAACTATCAAAAATATCAAGGGAGGTTTCTGAAATTATCTCTTTAATTAAATGGGAAAAATCCACTTTTAATCCCTAAAACTTTGAGTTAGGAACAAATTTTGTCTTCAAACTTTTAAACGCACCACTTTTAGTATATGAATTAATTATTTTTGCCACATTTAGTCCAAAAACGGTAAATTGCTTAATTTGGATAGAGAAAGTCATGTGGTTAGCATGTAGCCGTTAAGTAAAAATAATTTTTCAATCAAAATTAACGGTCATGTCAGTCTTCTCCATCCAAATTGAATGTTTTACCCTTTTTAGATTAAACGTGGTCCACAATAATTAATCATGTACTAAATATAGTGCGTCTAAAAGTTTGGGGACGAAATGTGTCCCTAACTCAAACTTTAAAGACGAAAAGTGGATTTTCCCTTAATTAAATACCCTCTTATTTTTTGAAGTTAATCACAAATCTGCAAAACTTAAATTTACATTCAAATTTAATAATATAATTATTTCATATCATAATAGGTTTTAAATTTATGTTTACAAATCATTGATCGTTATCTTTGATGCATAAATTTTGACAAAGTGCTTCCAAAAAGAACTTTTATCAATGTCAAATGTATTGATTTTTTTAGATGATTCGTTTCTTTTTTCTTCTTTGAGGTCAAAGATTTAAGGTTAAAGTTAAAAATTTTAAAAGGAATTACGATGGATGATTTAATTTATAAATTAATGTGAACAACATAAATATGAAAGCCGTTAAATTGAAATAAAATTATAAAAAATAATTTAAAGAAATGTTGAAATTAGAGTGAACCCATAAGAAGTTTTTTTTTTTTTTTTTTGTCAACACAACTTGTGAAATTAATTGTATTAGTTTTATACATTATATTGCAACAAATAAATGACCATACACCATCAAAATAATGTGTATATTTATTTCCGGAGAAGGTAAAGTAAGATTTTTCCTTGAGAACTAAGCGTGCTCCTGGCTAAGGGTAAAATTGGATGAAATGTTCTTTACTTTAACTTCCGTTAGATTGGGGGAGGCAAATTGAGAGGCGACCCGACTAAAAAGCGCGATTAATCCTAAAATATATATGTGTTGAAGCTAAAAAAATCCCAAAAATAGAAGGTCTATTTGTACATTCCGTTTATGGAAGCAACCAATTATGCAAGGGTGCTCAAAAAAAGCTTATAAATTATATTCAGGAAGACCTCTTATTTCGTGCTTTAAGTTCATACCACAATACAATTTTGAAACATCAAGAGGTCATACAAGAAAACAGAAAATGATGCTAGTTCATAAGACTAACAAGAATGAATGTAGTTAATCATACAACTATACATTTGACAAAAACCGCAGCCATCTGTATAGAGATTCCACTCCATGAACTGTAGAATGGTATTTCAACAATGAAATGCTAAGATTCTGTGTCATCCCAATGGAGAATCAGTACCGTATGGTTGAAAATGATTGCTGAAGCTTGGATGTTCGATCCATAATTCGCCTGATAGTGGTGTAATGGCAAAGCGTCTGCTGCTGTATTGCCATAAAAATCATGATAATCGGGTATAAAATCTGCTGACCCAAGGGGCTAGCTGGGTAATATCAGGAGTTCTGGCATTCTGGGAATAATAATCGGACCAGTAGCATGGCGAAAGCCTCTCTGCAAACTTGCTGTCATAGTAAATACAAAAGGGTAGCCAGTCTTCGCCTCCATTCATTCTCCTTTTCCTCTCTCGCGGATAAGCTAACGGTGCCTGCACGTACCTACATACATGTATGCCAATGGAGGCCCAAATCAGCAATTAGCATCCCACTCATTGTAGTTGGAATCTACTTTTTACTTTACTTCATCTATTTTCGTTTATTTATTTTCTTAGAGAGGATATCATTTCAAGTTTCAAATAAGGAAATGGACAAGTTTGAATTCGCTAATTGATTGGTTTTACTGGCCTATCTTTAGCACCAATCATTGACACTTCACTAAATTCTTCAAAAAGATGATAGTGGGAAAGCGACGTTTTAATATACTCTTCAATTAACACGGGAGACAATTCATGTCCCCACTGTCACTATTTTAATCTTTACATTCAGTAAACATCTGTAGTCAATTCTCACCCAACGTTCCCCTTGATACTCGGTATTTCTAAGAAAGTTCAAAAACCACCCTAAAAGTACCCTGGAGATGATGTTTCATCTCGCACACCAGTTCCCTTGGTTTCCCTCGTCCACACTATACCCCAAGTATATCAAAGAGTAAATTTAAACCTGCAATAACAAATAATCCTAATAAAACAAAATGGTCTGTCCAACCTTAAGTTTTCTCTGCTCAGGTCAGAAAGGAAATATTCTGCTAGGTTCTCATAATGGATCTTAAAGTTTCTTTCCTTTCAAATTTCTCTTCAAATTACACTACGTGGAAAATTTACTGGAATATGGTACATGTTTAAGTAATACTATAATTTCAAATCAGACTTTGAAGGGAAACTACTAGTATGCAACATATATTCAAACAAACCAGGTCTGCTTTAAATTTCAGAAGACAACTAGGATCTATCAGACGCAAGTTAGTTAAATGAATATCTTGGGGCAACTTCCTCAATTAGCTATAGATCATTTTCCAAAGTTTTTCTCCAGTAACTAGAAAACATTTTCATTCACTTAACTGGATATAGAAAATGTTACAACTTAGTTGCATATGAAAGTTTAAAAACCTTTATACTGATGTTTCAAAGAAAGAAAATAGCTATCATCTTTCCAATTTGTTATTTTAAACTCAGCTGGCCAAGAGATGTTGAACCTGCACATTGTATTGTATTTACTACAGCGAACAAGGAGAAACAAGATAATTAATCTGAGACACTAAGTCCACTATTGATTCAAACCATCCCAGATGTTCCCACTATTAACAAGATTCTGCTAGAAGCTTAGGTTGTTAACTTTTTAATAGATGTATTTGAAACAATGCAAAGAAATAAATTCTAGCATGTATCCCTAGCTCAACCAAACAGCACATATCATCATCATTTGCTACATGTAGAATTCAAAAAATCAAACAGATAAGCTGTCTACCGAGCGAACTAATTTACTTAACAATTACAAAACAGGTACAAGCATATGCAAATGAGAAGAGAAACGCAGTGGAAACCTGTTCAAGATACTTATAATCTCTTTTATATCAGTGTAAGGTGTTTGAAGGCTTTCATATATGTACACTGGAAGAACCAAGAAAATGATTTGAAGGATGAAAGAAAACCATGACAAGAGGAGGAGAAAAGAAAAATTGACCCAGAACGCACATGAAAGGCATTTGGGGATTCAATGAGACAACATAATCATAGACTTCCCAGATGTTTCAATATAACTTTGATGCAAAATACATTACTACCTCTATTATGATTTATTAGAATCTTAAGGTTGAGTGGTACATTAGTGCTTTCTGCAGAGGCTAAACTAGCACCCCTTTAGTCACATTTAGGCATTTCAAATCAACAGAGTGATTTCTGCAGTCATTTCTTGGCGTCCAAACTTTTAAATGCTAAATCAAATTCAGCTTCCTGATTCCTTGTCCTATAGCTTCCCTAATTATTAATTTTCATTAGCTTGGCCTCCAAGTTTTGTTTGCTACAAGTATCAGTTGTAATAGTTTCCTGTACAAATGGCAACAATGATATTAAAGCCAAATTGAATTACAAGCTCAATTTTACATATTTATTTATTTGTTTATTTATTTTAGTATTGATAGCAACCATAATATTGGCAACCTATCATAAAGAAAATGAGGAGGAATTCTTACTCATCTTTCTGCTATGTTCTTAATCCTTCTTGATCACAACCAACAGTTCCCATCAAAGTTCTGATAGAGCTAAATTCACTGATCTTTCTCACACAATTGATCGACGAAGAGCTCCCCTAAACAAGTCCTGCAACAGAACTGCTCTTGTCTAGAGAAAGTTGAGTATTTTAGCCATCTCTCTCTCTCTCTCTCTCCCCTCTTTCCCCCCCTCCCTCCTCCTCTGAGATGCTCATCCATCTTCATCTTTAGTGACACCATTACCAGGAGCTCTACATGCTTATGGGAAATGGAAGACTTGAGAACTCTGTCCCTCTTCCTTCCCATTTCTTCTCCAGCATGACTCCTCTTAAGTTTTATCAAGAATCATAACCCTTGATGCTTGCTTTTCTGTGGGAAATTGCAGAGTGAAGACTGACATGTTGGCTACAGAATGCATTGTAATTGATACATTGGTAACCTTTTGTTAAACCAAGATTGCTTATTTAGTATCATTTTCCTGAACCTTTTGCAATTGGTTTCTAGGCATCACAAATCTGATTTCATTGATTTTGATCAATCTGACTTTCAAGGTCAATGACAGAGCTCAAAGTCAAGTTTGGTTCTTGCTGAATTAGTACCATACCTGAGTACTACTCAAGCTTGGGTTCAGCTCCAATGTTCTTCATGAAAAACTAGTTGAGCAAAAAAAAAAAAGACTACATATACATTTGTGCATTATTAGTCTAATTTAATTTCTTACCAGGTAAAAGTATGTACAAGAGATTCTTTGTGACATTTACATCAAAAAATACCCGAGGAAAAGTTGCTAGCAGACTCCTTACGTGCCTGAGCACCAGGCATTGTCACTGATGCACAACTCATCAAACAAACCTTATGTCTCCAAAACAAATTGCTAATCCCACTAACCAGAATCTCTTTGGAGCCTTTCACTGACATCTCAAGGACTGTCATGACTAACTGCTTAACAAGCAACACAGCCCCCCAATGGCCTAAATTTGCTCATCAGATGCCAGATTAGTAGAGAAAAGTTTCATGCAGAACATGTCATCCTATGCTAGTTTATAAGCGAATATGTCACCTTATGCAGAACGTGTCATACTAGATAGTATTATTGCTGGCTTTTAAGTGAACCCCACACCTTCAGAACAGTATTAAGCTATTCATACCTAACATGCATATAATACTTCTCAACCGCCAGCATTACTTTTCTAACCCCTTGCCAAATCTTAACACTTTGAGTAAATTAATACTCTACTGGAAGGGAAGCCGTTTTTGGAAGCCATCAAAATATGACCAAGCTACGAAGAGTCATTTCACAAATTTAATCCAAATTTGCCATAGTCTCTCTCTCTTTCCACAAGGACATGCATGCAGAATATAGAGAAGTGTGTAGAGATCTACGTGCTTCTACATTTTTTATTTAAGGTAAAAGCATTATGAAAGACTCAGGAGGGGGTTGCAACCTGAATTGTAAAAGACAAAAACCTATCAATGAAGGCATCAATGTGCATGATCAGAAAGATCAGTGCATGTACCAACACACACAAGCATATGCGTCTTTTACATACATATCCATATCTGCATCTGCATTGCACAGACCTCCAACTTGCCTACACATTTAGATGAAGCATATTGCTTGAAATACTTTACAATAAACAAGAAGGATAAACCTTCACTGTGATGTCAACAAATCATTTCCTCTCTGCAGGGTGATTTCTCTTGTCAGAAACACACTGCTCTTTTCCCTGAGATAGGCTGAGACCATTTAAAGTAACCTGATTTTAGTCTTCAGACCCTAAAAATTTATTAAATTTTCTCATTATCAAAGAGTTTCTTCATACGTCTTCGAGCATTCTCTGATTCCATAACAAATTAACCTACGAATTTAACTCCAAATAGTGCTGTTTTCACCTGTGGCTGATAAACATGGTATACAGCTATATAATGCTGCTTACAACCTCCAAAGTCTTAATGCATGATATTATGTCTGATTTTGGACTTCACTATCTTAGAGGTATGTATACTGCTAAAATAACCAAATAAGCTCACTTTTAACTAGATGTATAAAACCCACCAATTAGAGAGGATGAGGACATCTGGAGATATTTGATAAGCAGTGTGATCTGTAGCATCTAAAAGCTCAGCAGTTAATAGAAAGGGACAAAGGATTACCTGATGCCATCAAGCAGAGCATCCCAACAGAAATGAGTATGACCAAAAACATGGCATGCAGATGCAGCACCTTTATTTCCATGTATGGATCTTATTCGGGATTCAAGAAAGTCAGAGCCAATTACTTTTGGAAGCTTAGGATAAAAAAGCATTCTCTTCTCCGGGCATAGCTCCTGCCTGCATCAACAAAACAGTTATTCATCAGTAATGTAAAATATATCCAAGCCATGATCCCAAGTCAACCTGCCAAATCAAAAGCCATGGATTTTTCCAATCTATTAGGGTCTATAGAGAAAATGCAACTCTCTGAATAACATCTCAAGCTTTTACTAAGGTGGAAACACAACATAGTACCACATGACGACCATGAAGCAAGGAATTAATTCAGAGAATCTTAATATAAAGCCAAAAATCTAAGGCTTGAGCATTCATGTCCCCTCATCAAGTCTCTTTCCAGTTTGCTGTTAAACCAAATTCAAGGCTAGTCCTTTCATATTTTTCACTCAAAAGCATACGCACAAATAAATGGATAGAAGCTCTCCGCCTTTGAGTCCAGGCAGCTTTTAGCCAGCCCCTTGCAGATTTACACAAACAAGCTCACCTTTCTTTTGCATTTAGTTGTCAACCAACAATCACTTGAAAGCTCCATTGATGCCATTCATGGTACCCTTGCCATTTAGTTCTCCTCTCTGATGCACATACCATTCAATGACCCCATTTGTTTGGCAGGAAAGTGATGTAGATCCGGAATCTCTTTTGCAGTAAATTATTTAGACAGCATGTGAAAGGATACTATCATGAAGAAAATTCTGAGGTGATTATTTCCTTGAAGGGTTCTGCTTTTCTTCTTCACCAAACACATGAAATGAGCACATATTTATGCCTCCAAAATTCATGCATTATATTGCCAGCTTTAGACCACTGGTTACTAGCTTGAGGAATAATAATGGTCTAGGAAACTAAATTGATTTAACAAAACTAGAATGTGAAGGAAATAATCAGACCATTTCCTGATAAAAAATTCTTTAACCTTGGTTTTGCCTGTCCCTTTTACTATCAGGAGATGAGAATAAATCAACACACATTACTTCTGATTCACCAAATTCAGTTTTCCATTGTTGACAAATGCACTTAGATTAGAAAGTCTCTAATAAACAGTTAATGACCATCTATCCTCAACTGGCAAGAAACATAACTCAGGAAAATTTCAAAGAAATGGCATGCATTTTCCTACATTGTTGGCCAATGTTCATAGTGGAAAATAGATACACGTGAAAAGAAGGCGAAAACATTTCATAATTTCACAGATTTACTGGTCTTATGTTATTACTTGGTCCGTCGCTCTAAGTCAATTAGTTGGCTGACAGAGACTGTGTAAACAGCCCTACGAATGTTGGATAACTTTGAGGGCATCAGCTGATCCAGATGGAACTCATCTAGTTCATCTTTTCCTATGTATGTTATTTGAGACACTCATGAAAGCAGAATACAGAGGTGCAGCCTATCTGCTTAAACAGCACCCCAAACAACCCAATACTGTACAAGTTTCATTAAGAAATAATTGATCAATTATCCTATAATCCAAAGTTGAAGGTCAAATAATTCAAAAACATGTTTTAGTGAAATCTTCTTTTGAATCAAGGTGGCCTTCTAGAATGAACAAAGGCGGATGAAATTCACAAGGATGCAAGACACCAGAAGTTTGACAATGAAGTAAAAACTCCTTAACAAGTAGAGCATGAAAGTTGAACAAAAATGGAAGAAAAGACAAGAAGAGGAACTCGTCTATAATTTTCACTGCAACAAATGAGAACTAATCAACTTAAGTTAGAATGTTTAAAAAGCATTAAACCTCTAACATGATTTCTTTACCTAGTAATACTTTGGAATACTTTATGTAGGAATTGTTCAGCAGTTACAGATTAATGCCCCTTCTATAAGACTAAGTATTTAGTTAACATGACCATTAAACAGATAAGAACTAACCAGGCAAACAAAAAGAAGAAAAGAACCGACAAAAGAAAGAGGAATCAACATTTGACTTAATCTAATGAAACATTAAGCTCAGAAGAATTTGTTACAATTTCCAAAGATTGCATTTTAAGTGTTCCTTTTCCCCTTGTATTGTTTTATGAAACATTGAAAAGGTTAGCCTCCTTACCAAATACTCAACCACACACTGAGCTAAATCAGGCAATGCTGCAAAAAATCATTCAGGGGGCAAAGCAGTGGAAGGTGCTTTTTCTCCTTGATAGAACATAACTGTTGTACCATAAGCATCATCTCACTTCTTTAAAGAGTATTTGAAGATTCATTGAAGAGCAGTATCCTTTTTTTTTTTTAAATACACGTGAGAAGATGACAACTTGTGCATGAGATTTTTTACAGTAATTGATTTTTTTCTGACAATTTGAAGTGATAAACCACAGTTGTTCAAACCATATGGACCCTAGATTAACTGCAAGGAAGAAGATGACCAACTCAACTCTGGTCCTTTTGCTGTCTTCACGAATTTCACCTGAATCCTTACCTTCACTTACATCATCACTACAAACAGAAAAGCATGAGCTATCTGCTACAATGAGATAATTGCCTTTATGCTGTTAACATTACTTCACTTAATCTTCCAATGACAAACACTTGAATTTAGATTAATTGACTGGGAAAAAAGAAAAAGAAAAAGAAATAAGTAACAATAACAAAATGATTCCAATGTTTATATCTTCTCAGATAACCTTCTTTGAAGATAAAGAATCATATTAATGGGATCCTAAGGTGCATTATAAAAAAATAAAAATAAAGATTCTTTTGTATTGAACAAATGTTAAAGAATGCTAAATGGTGCTGTTCATTTGCTCATAGAATAGGGCAAGACTTACTCCACACAAATACTTATCCATCTTAGAAGGATAATAAGGCGTTTAAATTTAGACTACGCATCAATATTCAGGTTTATAGATACTATATTTACTTTCCTTTGTTTTTTTGGTCAAATTCAAATGAAGTAATGAACCACAAGTAATATAAAGGGATAGGTCTAGCCGAAACAATTACAAACCTCGGAAGAAAGTGAGAGAAAGAAATAATTTGGCTGCATTTGCTTTTGATTTCTTCAACTAAATCGTTGTTCTTATCATTCATGACATCAAAGAAGAGAGCAAGAGAATTCTCGTCATTTGCCCATTTGCATGCACGGAAGTCCTTACAAGCCTGTAAATGTTAGGAATTAGCTTATAAAAAACAGCAAAACGCATTGATTGCTACAGTCCACATAAAATGACAGCTGAAATGAAAATTCCTCCTTCATGTCAAGGAGACATACTATCAGATGCAGGACAAATTAAGCACCTTCAAGGAGTTTGGAAATGATGATCAGCCGGACAATTAGCTTAACTAGACACTAGTTGTAGATAGAGATAAGACTGCAAAAAATTGTCTAGCTTACATATGTCTTTTAAGTTCTGGAACTTTCAAAGGTGCCAGTTAAATTGGCCCCCTATTTAAGGTCTTCTCCTGATTTTCCCTGGAAATCAAAACCTCGATGATAGACTAAAGTCATACTTCTTTTTCTTGGGTTTTGTCTAAGCCACTATGCTAATATTCTGTAAAAGTGAAAAAATATACAAGGCCATCAAGGGGGCAGAATGTGGCAAATCAGAAAATGATCACTAGAAATCAGTGTACTGTAAAGGGGGCATAAAATTGCAAAGAAGGAACCAGTCACCAAAATGAGTGTAGCATAAGGTAAGAGCAAGTTGGGCATACAACAACAAAGTTGGATTCAAGATTTCAAAGTATTAATTAGAAATCTAGGAAAATAACACACCTAATGCAGAAACTTGGGTTATTAAGACACTGCATTTACATTTCTTTATGCATTTCAGTACCACCTCTTATCTAAATGTGCAAGATGACCAAAAGACAAGCCCTTTTGCAGAAAGATGGGGCATTTCCTTCTTTAACTTCATGGTCAAAAATGGCAGAATTAAATTCTTGTTCCTAGACAAACAGGAGTATCTTTTCTGTTTTCTACAGCCTAAACCTTGAAGGGGCATGGATGGAAGGAGAGGCAAGCAAGGGAGCAACGCATTGACCTGGTAAACAAATTCATTTCCATAGAATACAATTTGCATAATCAATCAAGTGCACCTAAGTCTCAATGCAAATCAAAGATTTAGTTAGTTAAAATGTCAAATCAAAGATGTTAAAATCCTTACAAGGAGAAAGAAAGTGAATCACCATCTCCAAGGACGGAATCCGAAAGCCAGGTATGTCCAGTTCTTTATCAAAACTCTGCGAGAAAGCAAATGAATTTATGGCTAAATGTAACAACTAAGATGAATAATGTACAATCTCAATGTAGCGATTTAATCAAACTGTAAGTTTACCTCATGGTACCATGAAAACAGGGGTATAATTCCCAGAACATCAAGTATTACAGGTTTTGTTTCTACTCCAATCTTTTGACAAGCATCCAGTAATTTGTCCAGCTTTTCAAAAGAATCAAACTGATAGGTGGGAAGCATAACAAAAAAAAAATGTAATTTCACAAGTTGGCATTGTAAAACACATTTAGGTGCAAGCTAATATAGAGCAATAACTTTTTTTAATATAGAGCAATACTTTGTATCCATAAAATAATGTAAATATTGACCAATTATTTCTCACAAAGCACAGTGTCAAATTTGCATATATCTTGGATGCAAGGCTTGAAGTATGACAGAGTTGGACAAAAATACATCCTGAAACTCAAGTGAAATTGAAAATTCCCGTGAGGATCATCTCGTATCCTTCAGTTGGTAAGAGTTCAATGATTGATGTAAACTTTCCCTGACTTATGATTTTTATCATTTATTAAAAGAAGATCAAGTTTTTAACTCAATGACAATACCAATTTTAACAACTCGTGATGGCCCTGGGTCTTCTGAGGAGCAAATTGAAACTCATGCACTGAAAACAATAAATCGCCAATGAATCCTTATAAGTGGAAGTATGAGGAGAACTAATAAAATCACATGCTCAAATGATCCCATACACAATATTGAAATGGTCAAGTGTCTTCTCCTTTTTCATTAAGCATGGCCTACTACATGTTAAAAGTTTATTGGCTGCCCATCACAATTTGCAAACCAATGTTCTATTCTCAGTAACAAGAAACGCAAAAAAGTTTTGGGTCTAGAGTCCAGGGTGGGCTATAGCTCAATTACCTTACCATGAAATGCTCTCATTAGCCTATCTTTTGAAAGGATTTGCATAAAAAAGGAGTTCCCATTTTCTAGAAAACAGGTTTGGTGTTTGAAACTGAAGCGAGTGATGTAAACTAATTAAGGGCACCATCCAATGAATGAAGTTCAAATATCTCTGAAAGTAATGAGCTATGCCAAGTCAAGATCACATCCCAATCTTTACTCTCTATAAATGCATAAACTGATAAAAGTCATATTTGCATTGCCAAATATACACAGTAAACACTACTTACATAACTATGATCCTCCCGGCGGCACCAAAGATCATGGTTTCCAGGTACATAAAACACATGTTCAAACCTATCCTTCAAAAGGGACATTGTTAACATGAAATTCATGTACGTCTCAGCTACATCTCCAGCAACAAGGAGGACATCATTCTTGTACCTCTTCTTTGATAAATCTCTCACCCATGTCATGTTCTCAGGGTAGTCCGTATGCAAGTCAGACACTATGAAAACACGCAATCCATTAGCCTCTGTATTGGTAGAAGGCAAAATCTGAGGCCTGAAAACACATGCTGATCTAAATGCTGGTCGTCGACAATAATTCCTGGTATTCACTTGCTTGCGACTTGGTTTTTGAGGAAAACTCAAGAAATAAGGAACCAAGCACAGTACCATTTCTTCAATTACACGTAATAATAGTCGAATCCAAGTACCAGACAGCTTGATATGATCAAGGCCTCTCAATTATCCTACATGAGGAAAGAAAATTGATCAATGCTGTTAATGAAGCACAAATTCACGGCACCAGTTAAATACAATACCAGAGAAACATTAAGTATAACTAAAAGGCACTAAAGAGAAAACTTTTAGCAATATTTCCTTTACATATTTCCCGATTACCTCTTGCATAAATCATATTACTACCATATAACTAAAAGGCATCGAAGAGAGAAAAATTTTAGCAATATTTCTTTGACATATTTCTTGATTATTTTTTTTTATCTTACGCATGCTACCATATAACTAGAAGACATCGAAGAGAGCAAAATTATAGCAATATGCCATAGACATATTTCCTGATTACCTATTTATATGACATACATCACATTACTTCAATATATTTTTCTACAAAAGCTTCAAAAAATTGCAAATCCAAACAGCACAAAAATTTCTGATATGGGTATGCCTGGAGACCTAACGCATAAAATATAATGCAAAACACAAAATTGCTGTTCCTACAAGCAAAATAATTTACACAATGAAAAGCTAATAAAATGCAGATTAACAATATACAGTAATTTACATCAGAAAGTAAGATTTTCAGGAAGTAATGGAACAATGCTCAAAAAAGTAAAAGGAAAAATGGAAAAAGGAAAGAAACAGAACAAAGATAGACTGTCCAGACAAGAAAAGGGAGGGCGGGGGGTGGGGAGAACATGAATTTTTGAGCAAATTTAAACAGGAAAGAGAACGAGAGAGCTTGAATTCGTACCTCATTGCAGCGTAAGGGCGGAGGGCGAAGCTCTTGTAATACATCTATACGGAATTATCGGGTTAATTACATTTACCTCCACTGAGGTTTGCCCAAACTACACATCTTACCTTGAGATTTAACTGTATTGCAAGAAGGTCCCCCACATGAAAACACCTCTAACAAATAGCCCCTGCTATTTACTTTATTAAGGTTGACTATTAAATAAATAATGATGTCAGCATGATTTTATCTATGAAAGTCCTACTCTACCCCCAATACTCCCGTCATCCACTCTTTTCCTTTTTCTTTTCAACATAAATAGAATAAGAGTCGAAGACCTCTTTGGTCTGGCTTCGTTTTCGTCGTCCTCTCACGTGTGTTGTGCGTGGTTCTTGGCAGGTACAACGATGCCGTTGGTGTTGTGCGTCGTTCAATTTCAAGTTGTTGTCTTTCGCTTGTTTTATCCCACACAACTTAGCTTCGTTGTCTTCTTGCATGATGTTCACCACTATTGTACATCAAAAAAGGCTGTCTGCTTTTGGTTGCTCCCATTTCACTAATCCAACTAGCTTTCATGTACCTGCACTTAATTTGCCGCACACTTGTCCTCATCCAATAATGGCACTAAATAATTGCTGTTCTACTTTTACTTTTACTCTTACTCTTCAGCCTTGCCAGAGCATTAATGGGTTTGAGCCTTGCTGCTTGCTCTCCGAACATTATTCGCCTTGCTGCTTGCTCTTCCAAGTATTTTTGTTTTCGCTGTTCAGCATTAGCTCCATTCGTGGTTGGTTCTGCTTACCTCTGTTCTTTTTTTATTTCTTTTTTTTTCGAGGCTTAGTTAAGCTAATGTTTAGTCTTGTTTTTCCTAATTACTTGAGTGCAGTTGGAGGATAAAGGACGTTGTTGTTTTGCTTCTGGGAGATTCATCCCCCGACGCTAAAGCTTTTTCGTCCAACTGCTCTATTTTTTCTCCATTTTTCCCTTGGTATTCTTTTTTTCCCTCGAAAGTTTTACTAGCGCCAGAGCTCGCTTCTTCATTCACTCTTTGTTTTGTACATTTTGGGTTAGATACTTTTCGCTTTTGTGCTAGCTTTTACGCTTGTTTTGTGCGTTGCTTGGTTATTTTTTTCTCTTGTTCCTGGCTCTTACATTTTTCCCTTTTCCTATTCATTTTTTCCCTTTTTATGTTTGCTGTAATGCCTAACTGTTGTGTTTTTTCCTTCTTTTTTGCCTGGTACTCTCTTCATTGTTCTCTTAATTTCCTTTTTCGTTTTCGGTGAATTGTTCTTTTGTTGCATTTATCCTCTTCCGGACTTGTGGTTTTTCTTTGTTTCTATCATTTCTCCTTTTTTCATTTTTTTGATTTCTCCTTTTTTGATTTTCCATGTGCTTTTAGAACTGGTGAATGAATAATAGTGTTTTGTCTAGTTCTTTCTTTTTTTTTTTTATGCGTAGGTTACAGCCAAAGAAAAAGGCAAAATATGCTTGCTAAAAAATATACACAAAATGATTTGAACTGGGCTATCACAGGGGTAAAAAATAGAAAAACTGATTGAAAACTTGGAGATCTTTTTGCCTATTTGCCTTTTTTTTTTACCCAACAACCAACAACAAAAAAAACCAATCCCCAAATAAGGCCCCTCCTGATTGAAGTTGTAGAATCTTGGAAATTGATGAACAGTCAAAATCTCCATGGATATAGCTGTTAGTGTTAATATGTGTCGGTAATGAAAAATCTTATAAAAATCTGGGATGGATGAATCATTATGCACTGTATATATGTATGTATGTATCTGTATAGTGGGAGAAAATTATCTAAGAATGTGAGGGTGAGAAGCAATTCAGTAACCAACCTGGCATAATTCTTTTATCTGCAGGTTTTAACCTGTCATTATACTTGGTTGGGCTTTTCTGTTTAGTCTGAACATGTAGTTGCACCTACATTACTGAGCACTACTAAAAGCAAAGGATATCATTAAAAATGAGGAAAAAAAATAAAACTGCACTGCTTACCTGTAAAGTATTTAAACATTTAACAAGATGAAGAAAGGTTCCCTAACGCCTTTTAGAATCTAGACATTCAAATCAATAAATAAACTGTCAGGAAAATTTTTCCCTTTCTCCATTCTATCATTTTGTTTTTCTGTTGGTTTTCCTCTTTTTCGTGTGTTTTTTCCCATTGAGCCTGATTCGTCTTTTTCTTTAGATTATGTGGTCTGAGCATGCTGATGGGATGTTATGTTTGCCTGAGGTTAATGCTTGCATGGTTTGTTGGACATCTCAAGTTCAGCTTATTGAGGCATCGCACGTGAAGACAAATCGTGGCAGTGAGCTAATAAAGAAGTTTCGCTACTTTGTTTTTTCTGATTTCTAAGTGCAGTTTTATATTGGTTCTTTCTTACTTTTCTTTAATTCTTTTGCTGATTGTGGATTTGTCTATTTTAGGGTGTTAAGGTGACTGCACTTGCAATTGATGAGAATATTGATCGTGTTAGCAATCTACTTGTGCCGTTTAAGAAGTATCGCATTTCAAGAGCCCGTGTTTATGAGACACCTAACTCTTCTTTGAGCGTTGGTTCTTATCGCTTTTATTGGATTTTCACTGATGAAATTGTGATTGATGAAGTGATCAAAATTGAACCTCTAAAGCTCCCATGTTATTTTTGGTTGCACTCTATTGCTTCATGCGACATTGTTGTTGACATAGAAAATTTCATAGGTAACTCTATGTTTTGTTGGGTTGTTTTTCTCCCGTTCTTGATTTTCTTGTGCCTATACATTTGTTTTTCTCTGAATTTATCTTTTTTGAGGATTCATAGATGTCATGGGAATTATTTTGTGTGCCTTTCCTGCTAGAGAAATATTTTTTAAAGAAGGGCCGTCTGTCGCGCGTGACTATGTTATTGTTAACTATGAGTAAGTGTTGGCTTTTCTTCCTCCTCGGTTTATTGAGTGTATCTTTCGTATTTGGATTAATAATGAGTTTTCTTTGTATGTTTTTCTGTGTTAAGGCTTAGACCTATTATTTTGATCCTCTGGAATGAGTTCGAAGCTGTAGAAGGGACTGATACAATGGCTAATATTGCACAAAATCCGGTTTTGATAAGTGTCCATCTTAGGGTGACTACAGATAACTGTAAACTTCTTTATGTTATAAATAGCTTTTCCTCTGTTTTGTTCATACAGGTTTTTTTTTATTTAAAATCTGGTTTTGGCTAAGCTTTGTTCTCTGGATCCCTTAATCCTTTTTTTAGATTTATCATTATCAACTCAGTCTTCATCTGTAATATTAGTTTCACCAATTGTGCAAGAAGCTGGGAACCTTCGAGCATGGTCTGCTGCTTTTGTTTTCTTAAATTTTTTCCTTATTTGTTGTTCTCTATTTATCTTTCTTCTTTTTTACTATTACTTCGCCTTAATAAATTACTATAATTTGTTTAGGTTTCAAGCTAATAGCTCGGAGCTCACACGAATGGTCCACGAGAGGAGTTATGCTAATCCATGTGTATTGCTCCCTCCAGTTGCTTCTAGCCATATAAGTCAGATCTCATTCATTGCTCAGGCAACGAAGTTTGTGAGTTTGCTATTATGTTCTTGCTAGAATCATAATCTTTCCCTGTAAACTATTTTCATCTCCACCTTGAGTATCCCCTACTTTTTCCCCTTGCTGTGTATGTTAATCACCATAGGACATTGGTACTGCTTGGATAAAAGGCACTGTTTCTCTTGAGTATAGGATGGGTAGACTGTGATATCTAGCCTGTCCAGATTGTTATCTTCCTAATGATTTTTCTTTGAACTAGGGTATTATGTGCCGCTATTGCAGCCGAGACATTTATACTTTCCCTAGGTATGATGTTCTTATGGTAGTCTCGGTTATATTTTTTGACTTGTTCGTATGATTTTTTATTATATGTAGTTGTTTCTTGAGGTCTCTTTGGTTAGCTAAATTGCTTATGTCTTTGTAATGTAAGGGCTTGTGTGACTCTTGCTATCAAGGATGACACTAGTTCACTCAATGCAATAGCCATAGGGGACGAGGCCGAGAGATTGATAGGTATCAATTCTTACCGTTTATATCAGGCTGATCAAGAAGTACTGCTATTCTTCTTGGTGTATATATAGTTTTAAAGTGTAATGTTGTTTGCTGGATTTTTTGCTATGGCAATGAGTCATTGGTTTCAATTTATCGACAGAATGTGCATCTCGCTGATCGTGTGATGAGTGCGCTTAAGGGAGGAGTAATGTTATTCTATGTTAAGCATTCGAATCATGCTGTAAGGACTACGAAGGGTGCTCGCTATACAATTGTCACTTCCTATGATGTCAATGAAACTGAAGCGAATGCTGCCAAATTCTCTTTAGATCTTGGTGTATGCTTCCCTTGTTTGCTTTTGGATGTATGGATTATAGGCTATGTTATATCGAACTCTCTTTGGCTATTATAGCTAGGCCAACTCATGCTGGATTTGTACTTTCATTGGTTGTTTGGTTCGTGGCTGCACATTTGGATCTTAATCTATGCTATGTTTCTTATGGCCTAGCTGTTATTTAGGCCATGTTTTCGTTCATTTTCTATTTTGTTATTAGAGAATTTGGATCTCTTGCAGTAAAAAAGGATTGGTGTAATCAGGCAAAATGTAGCATTTTTTGGTTATCTTGATATTTTTTATGGATTTTGATCCCCAAGCAATTTATTTGTTTGCAGAGAAAGCAATGGCAGCAAATAAGATTCTCAGCTATCCACTAATTAATATTTCCCTGATAAGTCAAATAGAAAACGCAAACTATTAAGCTGTGACAAATTAACTGGTTAACAAACTTCAGGAAGCTAAATTGATTGACTTAGGTTTCCTAATAAAGAATCAAGGAGAAAAGAGGTCAAATATAATCCTTTTCATATATTTTTCCCAGAAAAGAAACTATTGGGCTGAAGGAGATAAGTTGCCGAAAGAAGGTTTAAGGAGATAAACTGATCAGTTTAAGTTCAT